CTAAGATACTTCTTACTGGTTAAGTGCAAGAACTATTCTCAGGTCAAGGAAAAAAATGTGACAACCTGAACATTATAATGGCATACAGTTCTGAGTTATAAAACTAAGATACTTCTTACTGGTTAAGTGCAAGAACTAGACTTAGGTCAAGGAAAGAAATGTGACAACCTGAACATTATAATGGCATACAGTTCTGAGTTATAAAACTAAGATACTTCTAACTGGTTAAGTGCAAAAAGTAGTCTTAGGTCAAGGAAAGAAATGTGATAACCTGAACATTATAATGGCATACAGTTCTGAGTTATAAAACTAAGATACTTCTTGCTGGTTAAGTGCAAGAACTAGTCTCAGGTCAAGGAAAAAAATGTGACAACCTGAACATTATAATGGCATACAGTTCTGAGTTATAAAACTAAGATACTTCTAACTGGTTAAATATTAAATACCAGAACTAATATTAACCATATCAGGAGAAAAAATGTGACAAAAGTATTTGGGCGAGATTAAATTAGAACAAAATTACTCTCAGAGCCAGAGTACTTTAATCTCGTTAAAAACCCAGATGAAATCATCTTACTAGACGTTTATAAAGCAGGATTAAATCCGTGACAGTGGTTCTCAAGCTGAGAAAAGGACCAATTACATTGGTCCTGGTTGCTTGGTTATGAACGTGTTACCAAGCAGAAAAAAACAAATTGGTTTTGGTTGTTTGGCCATGATAGTGGTTCCCAAGCAGAAAAAGGTACCAATTAAATTGGTTTTGGTTGTTTGGCCATGACAGTTGGTTTTGTTTGGGAACCACCACAATTTGTATTATTTCGCGGGCCACAATAGGATCTATATACCATGCTGGCACTTTCTTTCTACATACTGAGATCTGCTGGTCTGTGACAAAAACAAATCCTGAATTTAGGGTTACTAAACAATGATCGTTAAGAAGCAGGTAACTGTAGGAATATCGTTAGATACACCTGTGATCCGCGGAACATTTCAAATATGTAGAAGTTAAGGATACAACTTCAAATACCATTTTAGCGAAAACAGTCTTGTCCATGAATATGTACACTCGCGAACATGAAGTTCATATTGGAAACTCAAGATCGGGAGTTTTTTCTATATCCACTTGTAGAGCTTATAATAGGATTGGAAATATTGGATGTTGCTTCTAAAATGTCTCGTAATTCTTTATATTTAAAGAAAAAATCATCCACTTGCTTAGAGAAATATATACAAAATTGTGACGTCAGTTTATAGATATCCAACGAGAATCATTTATTCTTCTGTTGTTTGGAATTAAAGGTCCAGAGTGATAATCGTTGAGTAACAAGCAAGATGTCTGCCATCTTTTTTCACTAAAGCTTTAACGTAAAACTGGCCCGCCAGCAAATAAGATGGAACAGATGATGGAAGATGCGATATGTTGAAAACCACAGGTTTTAAGTTGTACTCCCCCTGAAATTAAAGTCCAATAAAAAAAGTTCATTCGGATTCCACTAGGGTCAGAAGGTGCTTATTTAAGTTAATTCTAAATAAAAACAATCGAAGACTAATAAGATTAAAAACTGTAAAAATTTTCTATAAAACAGCCTACATATTTTTTAATTATTGTAACTTCACAAAATTACGGCTATTACCAAGTTTCCAAGATGGGACTGAACTAGATGTTCGTAAGAAAATATGGCGAGTAGAAGTAATGTATAAAAGGGAATCAGATGGATAAATAATGAAAGTTTGGTGTTTATATTTATTTAAAAAAATCTAATGGAAACAAAAACCGCTGTGTTCAAACACACAACTTAAAATAATAATGCGTGGAAACCCGAAAAAGTCATTTTCTCTTCTAATACTGCAATTAGTACGTGAATTGGAGAAGATAACACACGCAAAATAAATTCTAATTAATGATAATAATTAGAGATACTTTCTAGTATGTATATATAAAGTCTGTTATGATTTGAATTATTTCAGTTATTTAATAAAATTTTTTTGATACGAAGGGTAAAATAAAATAATACTTAATTTTCCAAGTAATGTGCATCATTATTTACTAATAAACATTTTGAGTCTAATTTGTAAATAAAGGGACACAAGTAACCGTGTCGATTGTGGTCAGTCTTACCTTGATAAACGGACAACTACAAGTAACTGTGTCAGTTGTGGTCAGTTCTACACGTCTTACCTTGGTAAATGGACAACCACAAGTAACTGTGTCGGTTGTAGTCACTCCTACACATCTCACCTTGGTAAACAGATAATCACAAGTAACCGTGTCGGTTGTGGTCAGTCCTACACGTCTCACCTTGGTAAACGAACAGCCACAAGTTACCGTGTCGGTTGTGGTCAGTCCTATAAGTCTCACCTTGGTAAACGGACAGCCACAAGTTGTAGTCAGTCCTACACGTCTTATCTTGGTAAACGAACAGCCACAAGTTACCGTGTCGGTTGTGGTCAGTCCTACACGTCTTACCTTGGTAAACGGACAACCACAATGAACTGTGACGTTTCTTGTGGGGCTTACGCATGTTCCGTCTGTAAATAGGCGGGTGGCACACAGGTCCTCGAAAGTGCAGGAACCCACATCATTTGGCAGACAGGGAATAGGCAGCCACGTTGACAATCCAAAAAGCAACGGTACTTTTTTCATCATCTCTAGTTGAACCTGATAACAAAAACAACTTTCTTATTTCTTACTTTTTAATGAACATTTAACGATTTCATAATAATTAATGAACAACGTAGTTATTCTGATGGAACTGTTATGATGAGGAATTTCTTGTTTGAAAACTGATACTTGTTTAAAAGATTTCTCAGATTCTTAGTTTTGGTGCACAACCTAGTGTTCGCTTGCTGGGCTGCGTATCAGAAAATTAAAAAACAGGCCTCGTTATGCCAACGAGTACGCTCCGCAAGCTTAGTTGTTATAACTATAATAGTTAATTCCACTATCGACTGGTTGCCCTCCCTCTGGTCAGCTGTTCTAAATTAAGGATGTTGTGACTAAAAGTTGAGATCTTTGACCTGACCTTCTAACTTGTATATCCGTTAGATGTTACTTAGGTTGAAACTACCGAAAATTTGGGCTTTATTTTGTCTAGAGATGCAAATATCTATTTGTAACTAATCTGGAGCCAAATAATTTTCATACATTTTCGTTTAAGTGTTCTGCATTCTTGTTAGTTGGATTTCGAAAGGTCGTAAATGAGTACTAATCTTTCCACTCAAGTAAGGTTTTCCATGTGCCAATGGCTATAGAGCCATATGATTTTGGTGTCGTGATTGGCTCTCTTGAAGAAAGTCTAGTCCATTTCAAAAGGTGGTACAAATACTTGTACAATTTGGAATGAGTTACTTTCATTTTTTTTTCTATTCTACGAATGCTACTTGGCACCGAATGGATTCTGGTATATCTCATTTTTAACTGCATTTGATGGTTTTGTTTTGTTTGTAATTAAGCACAAAGCTACACAATGGGCTATCTGTGCTCTGCCCACCACGGGTATCGAAACCCGGTTTCTAGCGTTGTAAGTCCGCAGACATACCGCTGTGCCACTGGGAGGCGTTTGAATGGTAAATCACAATTTTCTTTTTTTCTCTGTGAACGCGAGTAGAAAGCTACTCTTCACCCCAGCACCCACTTAGGTTTGTTTTTGTTTTTTTTTAAAGTTAAGCACAAAACTACACAATGGGCTATCTGTGCTCTGTCCACCACGGGTATTGAAACCCGGATTCTAGCGTTGTAAATCCGCAGCCATATCGCTGTGCTACTGGGGGCCCCACTTAGGTCACAGCAGAATTGTAAGTCGGCCAAAAAATAATACAATAGCAGCAACTTTTACAGTTTTGATTTTAATAAATAAAACGCTTCGAGTCATCATCATGTAAGTTACGTTTTGTAACAATTTTCTGATGATGACTCGATACTATGTGTGGATGACACAGATATGCTTTTCAGTGTTCAAAGAGAATGGAAATTCTGTCTCCAAACTTGATTCGAATTACAAGGACAGCATATGGAACACATTCTGTAAAGTTCGTTGTATCCAAACACTTTGTAGATCATCCCTGCTTGATTACGGATTTCAGAGGGCGCCACCTTACAAAGATTATAACTCGAGATCCGAATGTTTAGAACAAACCACGTGCTCTATGAATTACGATATCACTGTCGGAATTTATATCTATAGAAAAAATAAATATTCTATAGTATTTCACTCACACAGAGAATATCCAACTGCCTAAACAATTCTTTAATTTACTAGTTTATAAAGGTCAGCTCCATGTTGAATCTGGATAAAAAATAAGAACGAAATATGTTACATCAAATCAAATATACCGAAAAAACTATAACAGTGTTTTAAGGGTTAATGATGATCAAATTTCAAACTATTGGTTAAAAAAAACTGCAGTAGAAAATTCCCCATCATCCCTCGTCTACGTGACGAGCCCCCCTCACCTACAGTGCGCGCACATATAATGATTTTCGTATATTTAAGAGTAATAACCACGGATATGATTAACTTGATTATTCTGTTGTGTTAATTATAAGAAATGTAACTGTTTACTTCAGAGAAACGTTACCCACCAAGTTAGAACGAACAACGCCGTTTCTTTTAAGGATTAACAAACGTAACTTTGGTTCCTATAAATTACCTGTTTCATGGAACATTTACTCTATTTTACTTATTTAACATATACTTAAACACCAAACAAAGGGGAATGGCATAACCTGGTGATTAGACTCGGATCGCGAGTTCGAATCCCATCACTAAACATGCTTGTCATTTCACCTTGGGGGGCATTATAAAGCGACGTTCAATCCCACTTTTCGTTGATAAAAGAGTAGCCCAAGAGTTCGCTAGTGGGAGGTGTTGACTGGCTGCTTTTCGTCTAATCTATAACTTCTAATATCAAGGAAACATTTTCAAACTGGAAATAACAACACATCGAAATACATGCACCATCTGACGTTCATCAACAGCATCAATCTCTAGAGATTACCGTAGAAAGTTCACTTAAGACTCAGCGATCTCTAAAGAACTAGCACCTTGTCTGTTGATTACGGACTTATTTATTAATTATTGATAATTTTAGAAGTTTTTGTTCATGTAGAAAAAAACTTGTTTCCTACCGGTAAGGGGGAGGACTGGTTTTGTCTGACATCTAGAGTCATCCCTACACCAATCTGCCCAGGTACTAGGACTGGGTTCGGCTCAATCACAAAATTCTTCACGTACACGGGATCATCTTCATCTCCACAATGTTCGAAAGCTAGTTTAGCGAAACCTCGTCTACCTGTGCTCTAGAAACGAGAAACATATTAGGCTTTCTTGCCGTTCAAACTACACACAACAATCTTTATATCTTAACCTGAATATATACTTATACACCAATATTGTACAAATTAAACCTGAAGATATACTTATACACCATTATTATACAAATTAAACCTGAAAATGTACTTATACACCATTATTGTACAAATTAAACCTGAAGATATACTTATACACCATTATTGCACAAATTAAACCTGAAGATGTACTTATACACCATTATTGCACAAATTAAACCTGAAGATGTACTTATACACCATTATTGTACAAATTAAACCTGAAGATGTACTTATACACCATTATTGTACAAATTAAACCTGAAGATATACTTATACACCATTATTGTACAAATTAAACCTGAAAATGTACTTATAAACCATTATTGTACAAGTTAAATAATGTATTCATTGTTATTATCACTTTTTGTGCTGCAGTCTTAATGACCTTTACACTCATGATGATATGTGTAGATGTTTATGGTTGCCAGGAGACCAGATCGACAAAACACACACGTAAAATGAGTCACAGAGTAGCGTGTGAAGCGATATGAAACTAACGTTTCACTTGATGCAAAATATGTTTGAAAAATCAAATAACTCGTATAAAAACGTAAAAAAATGAAGACAGTAATTCAAAACACATCCTCTAGTGTTTCCACTGCTTTTTGTTGTTGTTTTTTCATCGGAATCGTTACAACAATATTGCTTGCGTTTTCTCTACATCGGAAGTGCTGTAACAGTTGTGAAATGCCAGAAACAAATGTAGAAATATGTTGGTAATTATACAATCAGAAAGGCGAAAGGCTTTCGAAACGTCATCCTCTACAGTTGAGCTGCATAAGTATATTGTATAGTCACCAACATATTTCTACAAGTGTTTCTCTAACAGGCAGTTGCCACCCATTTGCCTAAACTATCTATTAAGGAGTGTCTCCTGTGTTTATTCTCCATTAGAAGTGTTGTTACAATATGCTTACTGAAGAAAGAGTAATTGAAGAATAACTCTTTAAAATACTTCTGCAATCATAGAGGATCAAAACATTTAAAAATAGAACAAACTTGACTATCTTTGTTTCCAAGTGTTTGTATTTATAGCTACCAAGATTATCTGCTGTAACAAGCCTCATGACTCCACCGAAGAACAGAATATTCGACAAATATTCTGTTCTTCGGTGGAGTCATGAGGCTTGTTTGTCGAATATTCTGTTCTTCAGTGGAGTCAGGACGCTTGTTTGTTGGATATTCTGTTCTTCGGTGGAGTCATAAGGCTTTTTTGTCGGATATTCAGTTCTTCGGTGGAGTCATAAGGCTTGTTTGTCGGATATTCTGTTCTTCGGTGGAGTCATGAGGCTTGTTCGACAAACAAGCCTCATGACTCCACCGAAGAACAGAATATTCGACAAACAAGCCTCATGACTCCACCGAAGAACAGAATATTCGACAAACAAGCCTTATGACTCCACCGAAGAACAGAATATCCGACAAACAAGCCTCATGACTCCACCATAGAACAGAATATTCGACAAACAAGCCTCATGACTCCACCGACGAACAGAATATCCAATATCCGACAAACAAGCCTCATGACTTCACAGAAGAAGAGAATATCAGATAAACAAGCCTCATGACTCCACCAAAGAACAGAATATCCGACAATCTTCTGTAAGGTATGACTGGCAAGAAACAATACTAGTATCCAGAGATGACACAGAGTTTAGTGTATTTGACTTTGATTGTCATATGTCATTATAGTGAAGTGTTCCCTTTTTTGTTCCTGAAATGGTTTTCTGCTTTCAGATCAAGGGCCGAACTACATGACCTTGATTTCTTATTGGGTCAGGTCAAGTTTAAACTGATAATCTACTGAGCGAGTTCTAGATTGAAAACAAAATTGGAACATTTTACTCTAATGACACATGACAGGGCAAGTCTAAATTCTTTTAATTGATATTATTTAGAAAAACTTCGATAATATTGTAAAAATACTGAGTTTTAGTTTGCACATATTTTATAACTGTTATGAGACAAATTTATTGTCGACTACTGACTGAACACCAACTAATGTGGACAGAATCGAAGTTCCTAGAGCTTGAGTACTAGGCACAAGACCATTGTAATACTAAATCACCTTCAAAGCGCCGACTTAGTTGAGGAACAACACCAACAACCGAATCCAAGTTAGAGAACACAATTAATTACCGTCAGCTCCTCCAATTTCACCTTTCGACGAGTTCAAACGTTTTTATTCACCACAGCTACAAGGGCTTAAATTTGACGGGTCTCTTTGGAGCCGACATCAGGAACCTGTTTTAGGTATTTTTTTAGTATGAACATTAATTTTAAACATGCTCCGGTTGCATTGTATTTGGCTGACGTAGTCATGTACATTACCCCCCTGAATCCCCATACCGCACCTCCACCTCATTTTTTTACTCGAAATTGGTTACATTTTAGTTACTAGATCTGTTTAATCTCAAAAATAAATTGATTATTTTGATTCCAACATAAACCTGCCCCCCAGTGGCACAGCGGTATGTCTGCGGATTTACAACGCTAGAATCCGGATTTCGATACCCTTGGTGGGCAGAGCACAGATAGCCCATTGTGTAGCTTTGTGCTTAATTACAAACAAACATAAACCAGAACTAAGTAGCCGTGGGTTTCGAAGTATACAAAAACTTCAGAGTTGTCACCAGTAAACTAACTAGCTCACTAACATGAAGACGAAACGTCGTCTCGATGTCAAGAGAAACGGTAGGAGAAGCCCATAGAAACTCCAGCCACATCTAACGGTTCTCTAACGCTGAGCTCATAACCTCCAACTGTCTTATAAGCTCTGCTGGTGACAATTTTCAAATGTCAGTGGTATGGACGTGGTAGTCGATTGGCTTATGGTCAGTGGCATGGACCTGGTACCTCTTTAGTGCAGAAAATCTTGTTAGTTTGTATTTTTAGCGCAAAGCTAAACAATGGGCTATCTGCACTTTGCTTATCGTGGGGAACCGAACCCAGGATTTCAGCGTTGTAAGTCCGTAAACTTACGGCTGACCCACCGGAGAAATGGAAGATCTTGCTTAAGGACATTCGAAAAAATTCACACATGTAAACGAAAAAACGTTAACAGTTCATTTTTAAGATTTTCTTTGCGTTTGGGAAGTGAATGAAAATGTTATTATGGGATAGTTGTTTATAATAAAACTTGTTCCGGTGAAGAGTTAATTTCACATCAAAATATCTGTCATATCATTCCCGATCTGACAAATAAGCTGTCGTTGTTGTTTTTTTTAAATAACTTCATGATTATAAACAATAATGACAGCTTGGGTTGAATTAACACTATGGAATTGGTTATGTAGATATCAGAGTGAATTATATCAACTGTTTTGGTGTTATATTCTGCAACTAACAAGTTCATCCTCAAAAGGTTTCAAAGTATGTTAAATCGTAATAAACGTTTAGTGGTCTCGTCTAATCTTAAGGTTCAAACTGTCAGCCTAAAAATTTTAGTTTCCGTAATGCAGTAATCAACAGATTTTACAGAACCTTAAGAATGAAAAATCCAGTACTTACCCATTTCTGGACTTTATACAGAGCCTTAAGAGTGAAAAATCCAGAACCTACTTATTTCTGGACTTTAAGAATGAAAATTTCAGAACCAACTTGTAAGAGTCTGTAGGGTAAAAATCCAGTACTTACCCGTTTCTGGATAGAATGACTGTTCAGATGATAAGCGAGACGCAAAGCTTTATCTTGGAAGTAGCCCGTCCATGTCGTTACATCCGCTGTTTCAGTGAGCCCAAATATCATCACCACCAGCACCAGTTGAGTAGAAAGTCTTGACATGGCTATCGAGTGGTAGTGGAAACTTTATGTTACTGAAGCTTTCGATTAAATCGATTACCAGCACTAGCAGTTCTTACCGAGTGGCTATTTATATAGGCGTTAACTCCCCCCCCCCTTCTATCGGCCTAAGGCTATTGATCAGTGTTACAATCAGCTCTCACGTGTTTTACCACTAAAAACATCCAGTATATGTAAGTACTTTCAGTTCCCAGCTCGAATCATAGAAACGCATGATGCGAGATGATAAATGCACACTTGCTGGAATGGGTGATCAACCGCGGGCTAGAAATATTGTCCAAGTCAGTTGCCCTACTCCCCTATATTTCAGCTTACGGTATGCGGCCATGCATCAGATTCACGGGGAACCTGACGAGTTAGAAACGTGCTTTTCTTGTACCTCTTTTCACTGCGGCGCCAGCGACTCTTGCCAAAGGCCTTTTCGGTGATGGGCACGCGAACAGGGGTCTTCCGCAAATTGCTACTGACCGGTAAGTAGGTTAAGGTTTTAGCAGAGCACAATAGATTGGTGTTGAACATTCCCCCTAGCGTTAATACAGCATTCCTGAACTGGTTCTTTTCCCACCCCCTCGGACACGGGATATTGACTTATTGGAGTGATTATTATTACAGTAGGGACATTGAGAAAATTTCTAAATTGTATTTATCCCAAAGTAGTACCAGCAAAATTAATGATCGGTTTTATTTTACATGATCAAAATATTATTCTTATAATCTAAATCACACTTTATTCCGTTTTTTAAGAACCCAGACCAAATATTAAAATACTTTTATCGGATCTTATTTGTGGCAGTAAAAAAGAAACAAAAACAGATTACAAAACTTTAGCTCTTCCGACGGTGGATCTACTTCCATCAGGATTTGGACAGGTCCACCTGTTGAGAGTTTTAGATTTTATTTTATTTTTAGATGACTTATCGGATCTTGAATATGGTTATTTTTCTATCATTAACTAATTCAAGTCTGAAGCTTTTCTATTTTGGTGACAAAACAGTGAAAATCCTCAAGTAGCCAAAAAATGTAAAGAGTAGCTTCGAATTTCTTTAATCTTTATACTTTACCCTTTTTATCTCGAGTTTCCTTTGAAAATTAATACGGAAGTGAAGGGCATAATATTATAAAAATAAGCAAGGAAAAAGTTGTTTCGTAATTCTTCTTAGTTTCCATTTTTCTCACCAGTCGTTATTTGTGGTCTCTAATTTAAATCCTTTAAAATCTGAATAGAAAGGAAAGGAATGTATTACTTAGTTAGAGGGCGTTCACAACTTTAGCTATATTGACGAGAGTACAAAATGTACTCTGGAGATAAAGCTCGTACATGCTTTCAGAAAATGTCGAATGGACATCAGTTGCTATCAGTAAGTCACTTACAAACGTACTGACTATCTATGATAACAACTATCTGACCTTTCTGTAAAGCAAAGAAGATTCACTAAAACTTATGTTTTGTTTGCTCGTAAAAATGGTGAAAATGGTGAAAAATTTTAAATATTTTTTTTTCTAAATCGTCATTTCTCAGCGAGAGCTGATCATAAGTATGAACAATTTTCTGAGAACAAGAAAAACAAGAAGTCAAACTGTTTTATGACCTACAGTTAACAAGAAAAATAAGAAGTCAAACTGTATTATGATCTACAGTTAACAAGAAAAACAAGAAGGCAAACTGTATTATGATATACAGTTAACAAGGAAAACAAGAAGGCAAACTGTATTATGATCTACAGTTAACAAGAAAAACAAGAAGGCAAACTGTATTATGATATACAGTTAACAAGGAAAACAAGAAGTCAAACTGTTTTATGATCTACAGTTAACAAGAAAAATAAGAAAGTAAACTGTATTATGGTCTATAGTTAACAAGAAAAATAAGAAGTCAAACTGTATTATGATCCACAGTTAACAAGGAAAACAAGAAGGCAAACTGTATTATGATCTACAGTTAACAAGAAAAACAAGAAGTCAAACTGTATTATGATCTATAGTTAACAAGAAAAATAAGAAGTCAAACTGTATTATGATATACAGTTAACAAGAAAAATAAGAAGTCAAACTGTATTATGATCTACAGTTATAATATTTTAATCAGAATATATTATTGCAATAACTGATCAATATAATGCAAATTTCCATTGGATTATCTACAAAACATTACATCCTCAGTAATCCGAAATACTACGGGATTATCTACAAAACATTACATCCTCAGTAATCCGAAATACTACGGGATTATCTACAAAACATTACATTCTCAGTAATCCGAAATACTACGGGATTATCT